GTACAGGGTTTTGGAGTTTTTGTGAGGTGTTCTTCACTTTTTCAGCCTGTTCTCCGGCTGCCCAGATTTGTAACAGGTGGCAAGTGCATTAGCCGTCTGCATCCTCCACCGGAGGTCGAACAGGACGCGGTCGCTCGATCCTTCCCGTGAATCTCTCAACTCATCTCTGATTTGGCAGAGGTGAGTTGGGAGATTGCCATAATGGTAAGCCACCACCGTCGACTGCCGCATGGTATTACCATCACGAATACGTGAGCCGCCAACGGCAACTGGTAGATGGCACAGCCATCGCGATTGCGCGAGCCCCTACCAGAAATTCGTTGCGCCGCCCTTGGGGGCAAAGAACGGTGAAAGCTAACGTACGAAATCAGAGGGCAGCACACGGTGCGTTCGCGCGACCCTGCCCGTGAGCAATCTCCCAACTCATCTCTGCTATTACGTATAGCAAATTCAGCGAAAATGTGAAAAATGAGGCGCGCTCACGGTATTACGGAACGTTTTTGCCGGTGAAAATGCGAGGCCATTTATATTAACTGGCTTGGCACAAATTTTTAAGTGAAATGGAGAAGCATACAAGAAAGGATAGAAAAATAAACGCCGTGAACGCCTTCTTCCACGGATTGTGACACAGAAATTCAAAATGGAAAACCTGGGTGGTTTGATTTTGGGCAACAATTGTATTAGGGAACGTAATAATAACCTTATTAGAAGAAGAAGGGAATTACGTAATGCCTCAGACCCATTTTCGTTAGAAGAAAGAGAATTCACTAGGACGTACAGGTTAGTTTTTGTCATTGCGAGGTTATATTACATTGAAAACTATGAAATAATTCCTGCTTACATGGCATGATAAGAAAGGTATATCGTTGAACTTCACATTATAGTACGTGTAAATATGAATATATTACATATTTAAAAAATATTGATAGACTCGAGTCCTTTTCTTTACTTTTATCGGCTTTCCATCTTCCCGCATTTTCTGCCTATAACCCACTACCTCTCAATTTTCGATTTACAAGGTATATACCTTCATTCAACAATATTACTAGTTCGGAAGTGCTAGTGATCTCTTCTTTCACATAGCGAATACGTAATTCGGCGAATGAATCCACGTGAGATGAAAGTGCGAGAAGTGAGCGCTCTCGTCAAAAATACGTAATGCGTTGCTCTTTTTTCACTTATCGAATACGTAATTCGGCGAATGAATCCACGTGAGATGAAAGTGCGAGAAGTGAGCGCTCTCGTCAAAAATACGTAATGCGTTGGATCAAAAAAAGCGAAGGTGACGGAGGATCTCGATTTACCCTGCGATTAAATCTCCCATATGGGAAACAGGGGAATCGGGGAGAAAGCGAGGAAAATTTAGTCCGGACACCGACCAGCCGGTCAGGCCGGTTTCGATGTTACCGACTCCGATTTTTGGACCGGCTATCCAGAAAATTCGGGCAGGTCTCGATGAAAGGTCTTGACGAGGACGTGGAATAGCGTTAAACGAGGATTACTGGCCCAGGAGGTGACGGGGATAAGGCCCAGAGACCGCAGCGTCGCGTCCTCGTCGCCCCCTTTCGTACAGGAAGGAGAGAGAGAGAGAGAGAGAGACGGTGCGGTCTCTCCGCGGGCCGCATACCGGATGGTTAGGATAGAAGCTTCGGTCCCAGGAGACGGGAACGGTGAATGGAATTTCTAAGGCCCAACGTGACGGGGTCCACGTGATGCCGTTGCCCCAAGAGGGTCCCCCGGAACACCTCGAATCTGGATCGGGCATTTTTTGGGCCCGATCGAAGCTCCCTGACGCGGAACGTCCACGCCTCGAGAATAAGTCCCACTCGCCTCGTCGAAGGGCCCAAACGGGACCAGGTCTCCGAAAACGGAGGCCCATCCGACATAGTTCGGTAACCTCGGCCCGGTGACCGCGCTAAACGCGAATATCCCGGCGAAGGGGCCCGTTCTTCAAGGAACCTCCTCACGTAGAGGCCCCTCGGGGTTTCAAGGTCAAAATTCGCCTGCGAAAACGAGGGAACGGGGACTCTAGTCGAAAGCTCGTCCGCCGGGCCCATTGGAAGGCCCCTCTTCGGGGCCTCTCTCCTCCTCGCTTCCGTCAGGCCCCTCTTTCGCACATTTTTCTACGGACTGGATTTCCAAAGATCTCGAGGAGGAGGGCGATGACTCTCCTTGGGGGATATCGGGAGAAACGAAAGTTGAGATCGATCGGTGGTCGAACCCATCGGTAGGAGCTTGTTCGCACCTCGAGCGGTCGATCTCCATCGCTCACCAGGTGTGTAGGTGTGCGCGGGCCCCGGGTATGTGGGGCCTTGTAGGGGCCCGTCGGTGGACTCCGCACACCGGGTAAGGCCCAGGTACTCGGGCCACCTGTAATGTGCGTAACGGTACACAATCGGACGGTGGCGCCACGTGGAGCCAACGGGAACTAGCTCTTAGGCGAGGTCGACCGCATACCTCGAGGAGATCGCGTCCGAAAGGCGGATTCGCCGCGTCGTGAGTCCCAACGAGGCAGAGGCCCCTCGGCAGAGAGTATCGCGACGTGTCAGGACCGCGAGAACGGAGGATTCCGCGGATCCCGGAAATTACCGGAACTTACCCGGAAACAAGTCCCGGCCGAGGAGCCAACGCGTCCCCGGGTTCGGGGCCCTTTTTGGGCCCGTCGCGAGTTCCGAGGGCCCCTCGTCCCTTCGCCCGTGTGGAAAGTTACCTGAAGAATCTCTACAGCTTCCCTCGGGAATTCTCGCGATCCTGGCGACGAGCACTCGGTCGGACAGGAGGCAAATGCGAGCTCGCCCGAAGGTTCGCATCCTACAAGGACCTTAGGAAGGACCCGGAGGAATTTTCCGAAGAAGATAGGACCTGGAGATCGGGTGAGTGATCGATTTTGCAGCGGACTTTCGGGTGACTCGCGCGGGGACTTCGATGCGCGCACAGGCGATGTCGCCGCGTCGAAAGTGCCGAATTTCCGCCTAGGTGGAATGTTCATAAATAAAATTAATTCCTCCGTCCTCTGAGAATATACCCGTTACCTATTCTTACAATCCTCGAGATCGGGTGAGTGATCGTTTTTGCAGCAGACTTTCGGGTGACTCGCGCGGGGACTTCGATGCGCGCACAGGCAATGTCGCCGCGTCGAAAATGCCGAATTTCCGCCTAGGTGGAATGTTCATAAATAAAATAAATTCCTCCGTTCTCTGAGGATATACCCGTTACCTATTCTTACGATCCTCGAGCCTCGAGATCGGGTGAGTGATCGTTTTTGCAACAGACTTTTGGGTGACTCGCGCGGGGACTTCGATGCGCGCACAGGCAATCTCGCCGCGACGAAAGTGCCGAATTTCCACCTAGGTGGACTATTCATAAATAAAATAAATTCCTCCGTTCTCTGAGGATATACCCGTTACCTATTCTTACGATCCTCGAGATCGGGCGAGTGATCGTTTTTACAACAGACTTTCGGGTGACTCGCGCGGGGACTTCGATGCGCGCACAGGCAATGTCGCCGCGTCGAAAATGCCGAATTTCCGCCTAGGTGGAATGTTCATAAATAAAATAAATTCCTCCGTCCTCTGAGAATATACCCGTTACCTATTTTTACGATCCTCGAGCCTCGAGATCGCCGAGAGTAAAAGTGCCTTTCTACCTCGACATAATCCCCGGTTGTAAAACCCAGCATCCGAGTCGCTCCTCTTGGGCGCTCCTCGAGGAAGGAGATCCGACTTCCCGAGATTCGTCCTCGGTCCAGGCGCGATTCCATGAGTATTCCTAAACGTTTCGGAAATACCTGAGATTCCTGAAATTCCTGCCTGGCTTTCTCCCAGCGACCTCCCTAAATGCGACGATTGGATTAAGACGCAAATGTCGCGAGGATCCCTCGAAGACCCGGATACTTTCGCTGGGATTTGCAGAAGACGAGTGGTCTTAAAATGGCGAACGGACTCGCCTTCTCCTTCGAGACGACGAGCCCTTAAGGTTAAGCGAAACCCCCCTCAAATCAGTCAATTCGAATAAAACACTTTTTTTTTAAGGGTATTCGACCAAACTGTCCAAAACGTTGACACATGACTGGTAATCGTCAAAGAAATGTCCTGACACATTCAACATTTGGATTAAAAAAAAGATTGTTTAACTTAGCTCAGATCAGAATCAAAATGGCGTCGAGCCCTCGTATTTCGATCGAGATCCAATTATTGAAGGCTCTTATATGAGAAACGAAAGAGTCAGGACAATTGTACGACGATTTAGAACACTCTGGTAATTGATAAACTCGCATTTGAACGGGATAAAGGCAAAAAATAGTGTCTTATGCACTTCTATTCCAAAACGATGGTAATACGAGATCTCGGAGTGAAGATTTAGTTGACATGGAAATCGCAGATGGCGCAGGGGGTCCCTCTGCAGTCAATTAGGGCCTCGGAAAGCACGAATCCAGAGGATTTCTGGAGTTTTACTTGGATTTCTTAATAATTGTTGTACGAAAACGACAAGTGGAGTATGCCATTTAGTACAATACCCAATACAATTCGAGGCAGCTGTCGATATAAAAACCAACGTCGGCAACTTAGGTATTTAGATAAATCTTCTTTACCAAAGTCGATCAAGTTCCTCGACGTGTTTCATTTCACCCTAAGGGACGTTTCACATTCCCGGGAAGAGAAATCGATCAGCTGATCGGATCTTGAGGCGACCTCGTGTCGATTTTCATACTTCGTAACGTTTCGCCGTCGCCCCTCCGGCGAATTCCTCGGGCGACGTGCATTCGACGATGGTGCAACTCCTCGGCGATGAAATTCCGGGAGATAATCGGTATCCTGATAGCATGATACCACGACACCGCGAGAAAATGACCATACGACCCTTCGTGGCCTGCCGAAAGGCATTCGTCGATTTTTGTCGATTTTCATCGGTTTTCGTCATTTTAACGAATTTCCAGGAGCGGATCCTGGATATTCGTCGATTTTTGTCGATTTTCATCTATTTTCATCATTTTAACGAATTTCCAGGACTGGATTCTGGTTCTCCAGAGTGGTATCCGAGAAACTCACGTGATTATTTTTGGTCCTCGTTTGGAGGACGTTTCAATTCACGTGTCCTGTCAAAGGATATTCGTCGATTATCGTCGATTTTCATTGATTTTTGTCATTTTAACGAATTTCCAGGACCGCATCCGGGATATTCGTCGATTTTCATCGACTTTTGTCATTTTAACGAATTTCAAGGACCGCATCCTGGTTCTCCAGAGTGGTATCCGAGAAACTCACGTGATTATTTTTGGTCCTCGTTTGGAGGACGTTTCAATTCACGTGTCCTGTCAAAGGATATTCGTCGATTTTCGTCGATTTTCAATGATTTTTGTCATTTTACCGAATTTCCAGGATCGCATCCTGTATATTCGTCAATTTTAATCGATTTTCGCCATTTTAACGAATTTACAAGACTGGATCCTGGTTCTCCAGGCTGGTATCAGAGAAACTCGAAACGTGATTATTTTTGGTCCTCGTGGGGAGGACGTTTCCACTTTCGTATCCTGTCGAAGGATATTCTTGGATTTTCGTCGATTTTCATCAATTTTCGTAATTTTAACGAATTTCCATGACCGCATCCTGGATATTCGTCGATTTTCATCGATTTTCGTCATTTTAACGAATTTCCAGGACCGCATCCTGGACATTCGTCGATTTTCGCCATTTTAACGAATTTCTAAGACCGCATCCTGGTTCTCCAGGCCGGTATCCGAGAAACTCGAAACGTGATTATTTTTTATCCTCGCGGTGAGGACGTTTCAACTTCCGTGTCCTGTCAAAGGATATTCGTCGATTTTCATCGACTTTCGTCATTTTAACGAATTTCCAGGACCGCATCCTGGATATTCGTCGATTTTCGACGATTGTCATCGATTTTCGTCAATTTTCATCAATTTTCGTCATTTTAACGAATTTCTAGGACCGCATCCTGGTTCTCCAGGCCGGTATCCAAGAAACTCGAAACGTGATTACTTTTAGTCCTCGCGGGGAGGATGTTTCACTTCTAGATGGCTGATCGATGCGAATCGATATCCTTGGAGGCGAAGTCTTTCCTACGAGGAGTTGTGTCACCGCAGAATTCCTCTCGAGGGGATTGCCTGACAAAGCCTGGAGTCGGCAAGGAGTAGGGAGTCACGAGGCAGTTAGGTTGGTATCCTGTCGAAGGATCCTTGCGACACGTCATACTTTGTTAGGCCTGCGAGCCTGCAATCGGCTCCACGCATATATACGCGCGTAAACGCATTACTCCGACGCTCACTTCTTCAGGGTCACCTTCGCACGAAGCGGTCCCTGGACTCCTTGAGGAGAAAATGGAGTCGTCATTGAACCATGAACCGATGAATGGAACATTTCCCTGCCCCTTGAATTTCTGCCTCATAAAGAAAAATATCTGTTAAAGAAAAATCTGCTTCTACAATTTTATAATGCTTAAAAATATCCCAGTTTTATGACCCTGTCGATATTAACATCCATTTTCAGCTGCATTTATGGATGGTTCTTACAGAAATATTTCTGCTAATTATACTTGTGAGAAAGTAAAGTTAAGTGAATTAATTGTTTAATGGAACAGCTTCAAATATACCAGCTTTATGACCCTGCCAATATTAACATCCATTCTCAGCTGCATTTACAGATGGCTCTTACAACAATTATACTCTGTCAGAAAGTAAAGTTAGCTGAATTAATTGTTTAATAGGACAGCTTCAAATATACCAGTTTTATGACCCTGCCAATATTAACATGCATTCTCAGCTGCATTTACAGATAGCTCTTACAGAAATATTTCTACTAATTATACTTTGTGAGAAAGTAAAGTTAAGTGAATTAATTGTTTAATGGAACAGCTTCAAATATACCAGTTTTATGACCCTGCCAATATTAACATCCATTTTTAGCTGCCTTTACAGAAATCTCTTACAGAAATATTTCTGCTAATTATACCTTGTGAGAAAGTAAAGTTAAGTGAATTAATTGTTTAATGGGACAGCTTCAAATATACCAGTTTTATGACCCTGCCAATATTAACATCCATTTTTAGCTGCCTTTACAGAAATCTCTTACAGAAATATTTCTGCTAATTATACCTTGTGAGAAAGTAAAGTTAAGTGAATTAATTGTTTAATGGGACAGCTTCAAATATACCAGTTTTATGACCCTGCCAATATTAACATCCATTCTCAGCTGCATTTACAGATGACTCTTACAGAAATATTTCTGCTAATTATACTTTGTGAGAAAGTAAAGTTAAGTGAATTAATTGTTTAATGGGACAGCTTCAAATATACCAATTTTATGAGCCTTCCAATATTAACATCCATTCTCAGCAGCATTTACAGATGGCTCTTACAGAAATGTTTCTGCTAATTATACTCTGTGAGAAAGTAAAATTAGCTGAATTAATTGTTTAACGGGACAGCGTTTAACTGTATCGCGAACAGAAATTTCCAACGGATAGGCATCTGTAACTTTTAGGCGTTTATTTTCCTCCGCGTGGGTACCAAAATGGCGGCCGGCTGCATCCCGAGCAGTGGTCCCCGGAGGATGCTCCCATTATCTCGAGACGAGAATCGAGGGTTATGAATTACATAAGCGGCTCGTACGAGCTGCTTTCTCTGTCTGACCTGAATGCACGACTCCGCGAGGAAACTCGAGCGCAGAAACCTCTCCGAGGACGCGGCCATTTCTGCGGAGGTCCTCGTCTCCTCTGAAAGAAACAAAATGGAGCCTCGCAGGGGGATCGAGCGGATGAAAAATCCATAACGACGCCCACACCCTGCCGGACGCTATTCCGGATAGGGACAAAAGACAATGGCCAACTACCGACGGCGAAAGGCGGGTCCGTCGAAACCTTGTCCCGGCCATTGTCCCCGTAAATTGCAATCGATTCCGCACAATGGACTCCTCCGAAAGGATCCGCGTCGCGGAAAAGTCCCCGCCGGCGAAAGTGCAGCCCGGCGCAAAAACGGCAATTTCTCCGCGGTTAATTTTGCCACTCGATCTGGAAAATCGATCCCCAGTCCCTTTAAGAGGATATGGAAAGCGCTAAGAAATTTAATCGACGTCGATAAAGTGAAATTCATCTATACCCTTTTTAGGGGGAATGCCGTTTCAATACTCAAGTGGGAACATAAGCTGGCGCGTCCCATTACCGACATTTATATTTATGTTGAAGTCTTTTACAGTCTACGTTGAGAATTATACGAACTGAAGGGTTCCATATGTCATTTCGGTAAAGTAATTATATAAAGATCGATGCACAATTGTCGAAATCCCATGAAATCATGACTCTTTATATTCTGACGAACCAACGTCGCCATCTGTGACGTTTAGGTGTAACTAAATTTTTGCACTAAAAACACGCGTTAGCCGCAGGACAAGCCAGCGTTCTCTTGCAATCGTTGGTGAAAGTATTTACCACATTTTCCAATCTGACTCTGTAATGTTCCATTTTTACGGTATTTTAAATTCTTCGAGCTAGGTACTGAAACTCTTGATTTTCGATTCTAACCCTCCAAGAAGCGTAAAACATCGAAAACGTGCCCGGACCCCGCCACGTTGATTCTAGTTCATGATTAATAAATAAATTCTTGATGAAAAATGAAATTTCATGAGTTTCGGGATCTACTTTAGGGCCTCCATATTCACGTGATAAGATTTGAAACGAATTTCATATCTCCCTAAGATGATATGCGCGCACCAAATTATCAAAAACTTTATCACGTGATTATAAAGGCTCAAAGGAAGAAAGCGCTGCCCGAGAAATATCAATTTTCAAAGGAAAGAAAAAATCTTTCCTTGGCTCTTGTCCGAGATAAGTACATTTTTTTGAAAATAGGAAATCTCAGCAGCGCGTTATTCCTTAGGGCCTCCATAATCACATGTTAAAGTTACAGATAATTCGGTACACGCACTTTGGGGAAAAGTTTAATAAATACTTTGACAATCTGTTATATACATCACACTTTTTTATATAACCATTTTTCTCCGAATATATCCACGATCTCTAAAATTGAATCGGAATTTTTTTTACTTTCCAGGCCCCGCGAAACGGATTCCAAGATGGCGGCGACGCGGGTCTGATTAGCGCCTACGAGATGTACACCGAGTGGCAAAAGGTGAGGCCTCATAATTTCCCGCACTTTTCCCCCGCGACTCTTGTGCCAGGGCGCTGCACCGAGCGCACCGAGTCCAATGATCCGGCACTTACACTCGCGTACCGAGTGCGTCGGGTCGCGACTTACGCGCCGACGCCACTTTCCAACGCGCTCTTACGTGCCTCTTGCAACGCACCGAGATCCCCTCGACCCCCCGCGAATTGCGAGAACGCATTCGGTGCATCCAGCACCGCATGCACTCATATAATGAGCGCAAGACGTCATTACACCTCTCACCGTGTTACATGAGCGCGAGTACATCTCGTTACCGAGGCACCGTGGAACCTGAAATATCCGTAAATTAATCGTATATAAATGTCTATTGAACGAATATAAAATATATATAGATATCTATGAACTCTATTGTTGATCCACTCAAAGGCTAGATGTCCGGAATAGTACGTATACGTGTACACTGGGAGACATCAATGCCCTCCCATCCTGCACAGGCGATGCCGTATCTGCAGGGGAGGCATTCATGTCCGCCATTGTACACTGAGAGACATCGATGCCCTCTCATCCTGCACAGGCGATGCCGTATCTGCAGGGGAGGCATTCATGTCCGCCATTGTACATATATATATGTCTGCGTATGAAATGCGTATGCATATGGGTATATGCATATGAAATTAACAGTTTTATCAAGTTGGAATTCAGATATATACATTAAGTATGTATGAAAAATATTAGGTTACATATAATGAGCGCGAGACGTCATTACACCTCTCACCGTGTTACATGAGCGCGAGTACACATATATATATGTCTGTATATGAAATGCGTATGCATATGGGTATCTGCATATGAAATTAACAGTTTTATCAAGTTACAATTTAGACATAAACATTAAGTATGTATGAAAAATGTTAGGTTACATGAGGTGTCTTTTTATTCATCAAAACGTATTTTCAACGATGTTGATTAACCTTTGGTGGATGTCTATTAGAGCTATTATATATTTTGTATGCGTCAAGAAATAAGTAGATATATGTAGATCAATAGTGGATACAAAAATTCCATCTACAAGAGACATAGATATTTATATATACCCTTTAGGTATTTTTTAGGTGGATGATAGACGATATACATTTGCTACACCCATAGACGTAATTTTGACGATTAATTAACGTATATTCCACGTCATGGGTGCCTGGGTACCCTCTCGTAATACCTCGAGGCATCTTATTTTCTCCGTATTTCCATAACTTTTCGGAAATATCTCCTATATCTCCGTATTTTCATAATTTCTTGAAAATCACGGCGAGAGACGTGTAAAAAAGGTCCGAGGATCACGGAACGAGTCGACGACCGATCGCGGGGCGAGGGCATCGCTTCCCGTTGCAGTTGCAGTGCTATCGTTGGTACACCTATGTACACGCGTATGTTCCTAAGCATATGTAATTTATATAAGAAACGGAGCACGGTTGGTTCCATCCGAAGGCACTTCGGCACAGAGGCGTCGACACGGGGAGGTAAGGGAACCCCAGGGAAGTATCCGGGAAATCCGCAGCAGAGACGCCGCGTCGGGGTCATATCAGGGGTGTTATCACCCTCGAGGAGAGAAAAATTGTCCAGGGAGAAAATTTGTAGACAAAAGATTTCCGGCCAGGCGATAAACTAGACCTCGATGCGAGATCGGGTGCGGTAATTAAATCGCAATCGCGTGCACGCCAGTGCATCGCGCCGATGTGCTCGTCGAGGTGCAGCTCGGCTGCAGTGCCTTGTGGTGCATCCTCGGTCGCGGATCGCGATGCGGTATTGCCTTACCACCTCGGGGAAGAGATTTCGGAAGGACGTGGGGAAGGAGGGGGAAAAAAATCGAAACGATCCGTTAGCGGAGTCCGTGAGCGGAATGCGCCATTTTGGTACCGCGACCCGATGATCCGAATAGGATGGCTCGGCGTCCTCCTGACTTCCTTAGAAAGAGTCTTATTTGCATGCCGCGCGCGTCGCCGGCCCTCGTAAACGAGACGGCGGAGAGACCGGAGAGCTCTCCCCTGGAGAGGAGGTTTAAACTCGGAGACCTCTTCGGCCGAGGTCCGCGTCCAGCACGTGGAAGAAAGCCAGCCGAGCCTGGAAAATAGAACTCACACGGATGACCCACTACCGGGTGAGACAATCGCCGCGAGCGAGCGATTAAAGGCCGCGAAAATACCTCGGGGTATTTCCTGGGACCAAAATGGCGGCCTGCGGGCCCGCGAGGACCGCGTCGCTCCCGCGCGTCCACCGGAAGGGCGCGGAGAAAGCGGAAAGTCGGCTCGCAAGGACCTCCAGGGCCCTCTACGCGAGCATGAAACAGTTAGCGGTGCGACGTCAGTCGCATAATTCCGAGCCGGACCCAGTTAGGAATTCCGGAGCGGAATCCGCATCCGGCGACCCGGAACGCCGCCTCCTTCCGCTGGGAAGAACTCCCCGGGAGGGGGAAAAATTGGAGGGTCCTCGACGGAGATTTTCCGCGGCCTCTCCCACGCCTGCGGGTACCTACGTGCGGCGCGGAAGGACCGCGAGCGGAAATTTCCACACCGTCCCGAATCCTAGGAAGGAGAGGAGGAAGGACGCGTCGGGGGAGAATTCCGCGAGGAAGAGCAGGGGTTATGGGATGTCCTGCGGGGGGCCGGTCTCCAGGAAGGAGATCCTGAGGAGGAGAGGAGCCGACTACGAGGAGGATCTTCCTTTCGGAGATGCTCGCATGGGTCGTCCTTGGGTGGTCGAAGGATATTCTCAGGGTCTCGGAGGTGCGAGGATGAGAGAGGACGAGGTGGTCCAGGACATGGACCGGATCGGGAAGGCGAAGACGCTACCTTCGGCCAAAAAGAGGTCGCCGAAAGTGAGCGAGTCCTTGAACTGTCCCATGTCCTGGAGGATATCCAGACGGGATATCCTGTCGAGAAGGGACTGCCAGGAGCAGGAAGTCTCCGGGATATCCAGGAAGGATATCTTGAGGAGGAGTCGAGAGTACGACCAGGCCAGGAGGATCGGAGTCGAAGGGAGGAAGGATGGCCTCGATAATCGGTATCCTGGATATCCAGGACCTGGATATCCTCCGGGATGTCCCAGCAGTCTGTCGGTGCGGGGAAAATCGAGGATATCGCGAGGAGGGGATGTCTCGACGCAGAGGAAAGGAGAGTGGACGACGACGGAGTTTCTCCCAGTGTCGTTCCAGTCGCAGGACTCGGTTGGTCCTGTCAACTCAAGGTCGTCCACCTTGCCGAAGCTGATGGTCCCTTCGAGGTCGGCGTGGACATCCAGGACGACCGAGGCCCTCGAACGACCCTGCGCCTCAGGGACTAGGGACACCCCGATATACGGCAGGATCCGCCGAAGGAAAGCCTCCCTGCCAGGACCTCTTCAAGGCCACGACCCTAGAAAGACCTCGAAGACCTCGATTCGCTCCTACGAGCCGAAGAACTCCGGAAATTCCGACGTAGGGACCACGAAGAAGAGCCCCCAAGCCGCGTCTCGAGTCTCTTCGGGTCCTCCTCGAGTTTTTTCAGGACCTCCTCGAGGTACCTCTTCGGGTACTCTTTATGACCCTGGCTCTCTACCGAGGTCAAGGCCGCGGATCTCCACCTCAGAAAGGGACGTTGGAGGGATTTCGGGATCGGCGTCGCATCTCCGGAACGGTACCAGCCGTCCTCTTCAGGTGGAGAACCTCCTGATGGTCCCTGGAAGAGTATGTCGAAGAAGAATAGTGGAAAGGTCCTCGGGACCTCTCGACCCCGATCCTGTCTACGACCCTAGGAGTCTGCCCAACGAGAAGAGGTCCAGGATCCCGAGCGAGGGACTTTTGCGGAAATCATCGGCATCGACCCTGCCGAGCAAGGATCGGCGAGGTCAGGGTCATGAGTTCAGGGAATCTTCCGATCCCGGAAGGACGGGGAGGTCGGTCTCGAGGAAGAGGATCATCGATAAGGCGGAAGGGGCGGAAGTGTCGAGATGCGAGGAGGAGCGGCAGGGTCAAGGCCAGGAAGTGGTACCAGCTCCGGAGATGAAGAGGTCGAGTGGCCTTGGGCGAGATGGCTTCGAAGGAGGTCGAGGAGAGGAGAGGTCGTTCACCACTCCTGGGAGACGGTCGTCCGCCAAATCCGGCGTGGCCGGAAGTAAGGCGACACCTGAAGAAGGTCGAGGCGAGATCGCCGAGCGGAAGTGCGTGTCGAGCTGCGAGACCAGTCGTCGCCGGTCGCTCACCTACGGGAGTGGCCGTCGAGGCGCCATTTTGAATTCTAAAAATCATTCCTCGATGGAGAACGGTGCCACGGGTATGGAGAACGGTCCCCGGGTCCAAAGCACTTTGGAGAACCGAAATCTCGCGGCCAGGTCGCGACTAGTAAAGCCGGAGACCGGGGACCAGCAGAAATCCACCCTGAAGAGAGCCCCCAAGGGGGAGAACCCATCTTCGGGGGTCAACTCAACGTCGAAGGTAAACTCGAGGAGCTCTCTCGTCGAGGAGACGCTGACTCAGACCTTGGACACTTTGGAGAACCGAAATCCCGCGGCCAGGTCGCGACTAGTATATCCGGAGACCGGGGACCAGCAGAACACCCTGAAGAGAGCCTCCAAGGGGGAGAACCCATCTTCGGGAGTCAACTCGACGTCGAAGATGAACTCGAGGAACACTCTCGTCGAGGAGACGCTGACTCAGACCCTGAGGACCGTGAACCAGCATCGGCCGATGACGACGGACGCTCTTCAGGTTCCCCGCGTCCCCTGCAAACGGTCGAAGGACTGCGCCAACTACGCGAGAAAGTCCAGGTCGAGGTCGGCCTCGCCCTCCACGACGACCTCGATCTTCGCCCTCTGTACCGGAAGAAGAAGCGCGTCTCTCGAGAAAACCGAAAAAAGGAAGTCAAAGGACCAAGTCTCGCCCGATGTGACCTCCCTGGCAACGGTCTCTGAAATCTTCCCACCCTGAAGAGTCTCTCCGTGGATTTTAAAAGTTTATATCACTAACATTTATTTTTTATTACTATTTCAGGGCGAGCTGGTGTGGTTCGACCCTGGAGTCGGCCATGTCCTGCCAGGGGAGGTCCTGGAGTTCCACCGAGCCGCCAACGTCCTCTCCGTCCAGGCCGTCATCGCCGGCAAGGTAGGCAACTACTAACAATTAATTTAACCATTAAGGTGAAGTGAAACCCCCCTCGAATCAGTCGATTCGAACGAAACAAATTTTTTTAAGAGTATTGAACCGAATTGTCCGAATCGTTGACACATGACTGGTGACCATGAAAGGATTGTCCTTACACATTCGAAATTCGAATTTAAAGGAAAAATCTTTTAACTTAGCCCAGATCAGATCCAAAATGGCGCCGAGCTCTGATATTTCGATCGATATCCAATTATTAAAGGCTCTGATATGAAAAACGAAAGTGTCAGGACAATTGCACGACAATTTAGAACACTCTGGTAACTGATAAACTCGTATTTGAGTGCGATAAAGGCAAAAAAAATGTCTTATCCGCTTTTAAGTCAAAACGATGGTAATACGAGGTCTCGGAGTGAAGATTTAGTCGACATGGAAATCACAGATGGCGCAAGGGGTCTCTCTGCAGTGAATTACGGCCTCGAAAATCACGAATCCAGAGGATTTTTCGAGTTTTACTTGGATTTCTTAATAATTATTGTAGGAAAACGACAAGTGGAGTATGCCATTTAGTACAATACCCAATATAATTCGAGCCATATGTCAATATAAAAATAAATATCGGCATCGTAGGTATTTAGATAGATCTTCTTTACCAACGTCGATCGAGTTCCTCCGAGTGTTTCACTTCGCCTTAATTTATCCTCGCATCTAATTAACGATTAAATACCCATTCGTAAATCCTCGTCCTCGATATTCCTTTAAATTGAAAATCATATTGGCGAACTCTTGACCGTGCGTTGACACGTGCTCGATCGCCGAATTTATTGACAGCGGACTCGATTCGTGTGTCATCTTACGAAACGGACTTGTAGAAGATTGCCCTGAAGAGGATGCCGACCTAGAGGGGTCTAACGGAATATAAAGTAATGAGAGGGCCTCGCCTCGCGGTAGAAAGTCCAGTGGAAACCCTGAATTATTGGAATACCATGTACTCGTACTCGGAGGTGGCTAAGTACTTCCGTGAAAGTGCCCCTTTACTGGATTACGCTGGTAAATGGTTTCTGCCGTGGGGAACGGTCCCCCTAGCTTGGAGGAAAGTGTATCGCCCAATCGATGATCGATCTTCGATACTACGGAATTCGGCAGTGTTGAGGTCAAGGGAGCTTAATGAGTAATTATGTGGAGATTATTTAGGGATGTGTGGGCGGGAAGTGGGAGTGGACTCTTATAAGTCGGGGTGTCGAATGCCTCGGTAATACTCGGAGTGGTGTCCCATTATGGATGACGAAGCACACGGGCGTAGAACGTGTAAACTCTCTTAACTTTCTCGCTCCATTCAAGCGAAGTCCTCGAAGGCGGAAGAAAAGGAAGAAGATTGCGTCTTCGCCGATCTGAGGTCCGACCTACATCCCGTGCGACGACCTCGTCGATCTCTCGACGCAGGAGAAGCGTCGACCTCGAGAACGGACGGGCCTAGAGGAAAATACTTCGGACGAAAGAGTTTCCTTGGAATGTACTCGGCAACTTTTGTTCGAAACTTTTCTTCGTATCTCTTATCGCCGGCCGAGAAATCGGGACGAATCACGATGCGGCCCGGCTGCTGGAACGCCGACGCCGACTTCGACGCGTCTCGGATGGACGCGTTTTCCTGCTTACGGAGGCGCGATACGAAAAAAATACCTCCGACGAAAATTCTTCCTCGCATCGTAACGGGCAACTTTCGTAAGAACCACTTTCTCGCATTACGCACCGAAAGAGCGGTAATTTTAATCAGCGCGGGGCGGCGCAGTCTTTTCCCGACGGTGGAGGCGCCCTGGGCGCTCCCGGTCGGCGATCTCCACGCGGTTAATTTACATTTCCCCTGGCCGAGGGAAATTTCCAAATAAAGGGTGCAAACGTCAAAGAGGACGGACCTTATCCACGAGGAAATCCACCCAGCCAGGAATGATCTAATGTGTCCGTTTCACTCGGCCGACCAAGGAGAGATCGTTTAATTGAACTTCTTTTGCATCTCGATTTCGTGAAAGGATAGAAATACTGGTTAGACGCTAACGGGTCTCTTTTTTTCCTTCTTCTCCACCATTTCCACGCCTATGCAGCTGCAACTGCTAACTCAGACAGGTCGGTATCCGGTTCGAGTCTCGCGTGCGCTGCTCGGCGACTCGCGTATGTCATCGGCGTACGTTCTCCTCGGTACTCTTGATTTTTCCATCGGTCGTCCGGACGTTAAAAAAAAAATTCCACGCAGAAGATCGCCATCGAGTCTCCCGTGGAAGTGGTGGGAAAAAATCCCAAGGGTGTCCCGCGACCGTGTGAAAAAATTCCCGGGGATTTTCCCGAGCTCGGGAAGGCGGAAAACGCGAAAAGGGAGAGAAATGGCCGAGTTCATTTTCTCGCCTCGGGAGGAAACTCCCGGACTCTTGGAGGATCTCAAAAGTGACTCGAGCTGGGCTCGGTAAAAAGTAAAGAAGAAAAAAATAGTGCAAAAATCATGGAGGAGGATTCGACGGACCCGAGTGCTCTCCAGTTGCGGATTTTTGCCCAAGTGCGGGGCCGAGGTGGCGATTAGAAATTATTCCCTGACGATCGGCGAGATGTTCGGAAATTCATCGCCGGTCTCGGAGGAGACCGGGAAAGCCAAAAGAAGGAACGATCCCCGGGATGTCCGGCCTTCGAGGAAGGACCGCTCTCCGGAAGCCGAATTCTCTCAGGATCTCGAGGACGACGGGGAAGGATACCGCAGGACTCGCGGATTCTCCCGAAAATCCAGGACGACGAATCCCTGGATCGCTCGAAAAGGATCGAGAACCTCCCCGGAGAACCTGCCGACTCTTTGCATGCGAGTGATCATGAACCACGTAATGACCTCTCCGATCATCTCACGACACCTCCGAGCCCTATCCTAATTTCGTAAAATTCATAAAAAATGAGGGTAGATTAAATTAAAAAAAAGGACCAAAAAATCTCCCCGGAGAACCTGCCGACTCTCTGCATGCGAGTGATCATGAACCACGTAATGACCTCTCCGATCATCTCACGACACCTCCGAGCCCTACCCTAATTTCGCAAAATTCATAAAAAATGAGGGTAGATTAAATAAAAACAAAAGGACCAAAAAATCTCCCCGGAGAAACCTGTTGGCTTTTTGCATGCAAGTGATCATGAACCACGTAATAACCTCTCCGATCATCTCACGACACCTCCGAGCCCTACCCTAATTTCGCAAAATTCATAAAAAATGAGGGTAGATTAAATATAAAAAAAAGGACCGAAAAACTCCCCGGAGAACCTGCCGACTCTCTGCATATCAGTGATCATGAACGTGTAATGACCTCTCCGATCATTTCACGACACCTCCGTGCCCTATCCTAAATTTCGCAAAATTCATAAAAAATGAGGATAGATTAAATTTAAAAAAAAAAGGAGCGTAAACCTTCCCGTAGAACCTGCCGACTCTCTGCATATCAGTGATCATGAACATGTAATGATCTTTCCGATCATCCCACTACACCTCCGAGCCCTACCTTAAATTTCGCAAAACTCATAAAAAATGAGGGTAGATTAAATAAAAAAAAAGGACCATAAAACCTCCCCGGAGAACCTGCCGACTCTCTACATGCGAGTGATCATGAACATGTAATGACCTCTCCGATCATCCCACGACACCTCCGAGCCCTACCCTGAATTTCGCAAAACTCATAAAAAATGAAGGCAGATAATTTAATCTAAATGATTAATTTCAATCATTTCGACGATTTCAAACAGCATGAGATAAGAAATAAACCATCTTTTTCCAGCCCCAAGTCTTCACCCTGACGAACCTGAGCGGAGTGAGGCCGAGGCAAGACCTCGGTCAAAATGGCGTGGAAGACATGATCCAATTATCGTAAGCGATCGCGATCCATCGATTAATCTCCCTTCCGGCATCGGATCGATCCAGCTAATTGATTAACTTTCCAGGGACCTAAACGAGGCGTCGCTCCTGTGGAACCTGAAGATCCGCTACGACAAGGAGCTGATATACGTGAGATAATTGTCCTTTCCTTCCGCAAATGTTAAAACAAATGACAAAAGTAAAATAGCCGTTAGATGATTCACGCGCCCCGTTACTCGGCAGACCTACACGGGGAGCATCCTCGTGGCCGTCAACCCCTACAAGATGTTCGACATCTACGGCCTGGACCAGGTGAAGCTGTACGAGGGTCGGATCCTGGGCACCCTGCCACCGTATGTAAAAATGTTTAAAAAATCGGAAAAAAATATTTTTTTAATCTCTATACTCTAGTGATTTTTCTTTTCTTTTTTTTTTTTTTCCTTAAATCTGCAGGCACCTCTTCGCCGTGGGGTCTTCCGCCTACAGTCAGGTGTCGGCGGCGAACAACGCGAGCGCGAACCAGGTCGTGGTGATCTCAGGTGAATCCGGATCGGGCAAAACCGAATCTACGAAGCTGGTGATGCAGTATTTGGCAGCTGTCAACAGGGCACCCAGTAACCTGGTGACAGAGCAGATCCTGGAAGCTGCGCCGTTGCTGGAGAGCTTCGGCAACGCGAAGACCCCCCGCAACGACAACAGCAGCCGCTTCGGGAAGTACCTGGAGGTGCACTTCAGGGAGTGAGTGGTCGAGACAATGTATTCGGGTTTAATCTCACCCTGTGGAGCCCTGAAGATGACTATGAGAGACTTACCTTGCAGCGGGGTGATCGTCGGAGGGAGAGTGACCCAGTACCTCCTGGAGAAGAGCAGAATCGTGACGCAGGCCTCGGAAGAAAGGAACTACCACGTCTTCTACGAGTTGCTGGCGGGCCTGGACCAGCAACTGCGGGACAAATATGGCCTGCTCACCCCTGACAAGTACTTCTACCTGAACCAGGTGAGGGGGAAGCTTCCCTGATTTTTCAGGATTTTTTTCTCCCTCCCGCGATAAACCAGGATCTTCCATCTCAGGGCGGGAGCTGCGAGATCGACGGCAAGAACGACACGCAGGACTTCAAGGCCCTGCTGTCGGCCATGCAGGTCCTGGGCTTCACCTCGGAGGAGCAGGACACTATTTTCAAGATCCTGGCCAGCGTGTTGCACCTGGGGAACGTGTATTTCCACAGGAAGCAGATGAGACACGGCCAAGAAGGGGTGGAGGTGGGCTCGGATGCTGAGATCCGCTGGGCGGCTCATCTTCTCCAAGTCAACGCCGATGGGATCATCAGGGCCCTGACCACCAAAACGACCGTCGGTTCAGTTTCCCCTAGGTTCCCGTAACCTGGTAAAATTAATCCTGGATTAAATGGGATTTTATCTGGTTCTTTTAGGAGGCCAGGAACGAGAGGGTGCTGACGGCGCTCAACATCGACCAAGCCCTCGACGCCAGGGACGCTTTCGCAAAAGCTCTCTACAGTTCTCTCTTCTCCTGGCTGGTCGCTCGGGTCAACCACATTGTTTATAAAGGGACCAAGCAAATAGCCGCCATCTCTATCCTCGATATCTTCGGCTACGAAAACTTCGCCGAGAACAGCTTCGAGCAGCTCTGCATCAACTACGCCAACGAGAACCTGCACTTCTACTTCAACAAGCACATCTTCAAGCTGGAACAGCAGGAGTACGCCAAGGAGAAGATCGACTGGACGACCGTTAACTATACGGTAGGTCGAAGACGCCTCCTGGGTACATTGTTAAACAAAATTCATTATTATAAAATTAGAAGTCTTTTTCGACGTCGACGCGACGGAGAAGATTAGAAGAATTATAAGATTAGAAATTATCAATGTGATACTCGAAAATCATCTAGTACGCATTGTTTGCAAATTTCATAGATGAGTTTTTAATTTTGTCATCGTTTACATATGTCTTTTTTTTTTTTAACAAATTTAATCGAGGGATGAGTCGAAGACGCCTCCTTGGTACATTGTTAAACAAAATTCATTATTATAAAATTAGATGTCTTTTTCGACGTCGACGCGACGGAGGATATTAGAAGAATGATAAGATTAGAAATTAGAAATCTGATATTCAAAAATCATCTAATACGCATTGTTTGCAAATTTCTTAGATGAATTTTTAATTGTATCATCGTTTACATATGTAGTTTTTTTTTAAACAAATTTAATCGAGGGATGACAAGTATCGGTGATACTGGCGAAGACGACCGTAAACTATACGGTAGGTCGAAGACGCCTCCTGGGTACATTGTTTAACAAAATTCATTATTATAAAATTAGAAGTCTTTTTCGACGTCGACGCGCCGGAGGATATTAGAAGAATGATAAGATTAGAAATTATCAATCTGATACTCGAAAATCATCTAGTACGCATTGTTTGCAAATTTCATAGATGAGTTTTTAATTTTGTCATCGTTTACATATGTCTTTTTTTTTTAAACAAATTTAATCGAGGGATGACAAGCATCGGCGATTCTGGCGGAGAAGCATTGTAGCGACATTCTTGAGCCCGAGGAATATTTAAATAATATTTATAAAAATTCTTACAATCAATAGAAAACTCCGATAGCATCCTGGACAACGTAACGTAACTTCTTCCTCGAACGTATGTTAAACTTGTTTGTCTGAAAAAAAAACCGTATAAAATGAAGTACCGATCAATATAAATTTCTAACATATATTATAAATTTATTACACATGTGTACTAAATTTATAATATACGTTATACATTTTATTTGAACATATGTCATAAAATGTCTATACCATTGATTGAATAAGTCTACCAAGAAAATGTTATTAAAAATGATTATATTTTTTTTCTTAAGAATTTTAAAGAAACTCCGAGTAATCAAGGATATCATGTTTCGATTCGCCCTAGGACAATTTACCGGTGATCCACCTGATCGCTAAGAAGCCGGTGGGGGTCCTCCACCTTCTCGACGACGAGAGCAACTTCCCCAAAGGGACTGACCTCTCCTTCCTCGAGAAGTGCCACTACAATCACGCCCTAAGTGAACTGTACTCCAGGCCCAGGATGAATTCCGCGGAATTCGCGATCAGACATTACGCAGGGTTGGTCTGGTACAACGTGGAGGGTTTCCTGGACAAGAACCGCGACACCCTTAGGCCGGACGTGGTGGAGCTGCTGATCAGCAGCAAGATCACGGTAAGTCGATTCCTCCTCCCCAAGGGCTGGAGAAAATTGAATTAACAAAACGATTACGCTCCTCGCAGATGGTCAGCAAGATGTTCCAGCACGTCAGGATGACCCACGAGGCGAACAAGACGATGAACAAGCCCAACGGGAGATTCGTTACCATGAAGCCGAGGACCCCGACGGTGGCAGCAAGGTTCCACGACAGTCTTCAGCAGCTCCTGGACTCCATGACTCAGTACGGGCTTTTCGCCATAAAACGTTCCCAGGATTAACGAAATCCTTCTTATCGGTTGATCCTTATCCATTCCGAAGGTGCAACCCTTGGTTCGTCCGTTGTATCAAGCCGAACTCGGAGAAGGCGCCGATGAAGTTCGACATGCCGTGCGTGTTGGAGCAGCTGAGGTACACGGGGATGCTGGAGACCATCAGGATCAGGAAGACGGGATACCCGGTGAGGTTGTTGTTCGGGCACTTCGTGGACAGGTACAGATACCTGGTGCCGAATCGGCTGCCGAGGGGGGCGCCGAACAAGGAGCTATGTCGAATAATCCTAGACAAGGCCGTGCCTCCCGAGGCGCACTCGCAGTATCAGCTGGGCCTCACCAGGGTCTTCCTCAGGGAGTCGTTGGAAAGGACCCTGGAGTACAACCGGGCGCTGATCCTGGAAAGAGCCGCGATCACCGTGCAAAGGTGATGTTCCCTTCGGATGACTCGATGGAGGATGATGGTGGACCAGTGGATGATTAAAACGGAGTTCTTCAGGTTCACGAGAGGGTTCCTGACGAGGAGGAGGTTCCTCAGCATCAGTCGCAGCACCGTGCTCCTGCAGGCGGTCTTTAGGGGCTACCGGGAGAGGCAGAAGTTCCTGAAGCTGAGGAGGGCCGCTCTGATGGGGCAGAAGTTGTACCGAGGTAGGAAGCAGAGGGAGAAGTTCAGGGTCCTGAAGGAGGAGATCGCGAAAAGGGCGGAACTGGAGAAGGCCAGCAGGGAGAGGGCGAAGGCCAAGCAACAGAGGGAGGAGCAAGAAAGGGCATCCAGGGCTGTCGCAGGTGTCAATCACCTGGAGATCCCTGCGGAGCTCGCCTTCATCTACAGCAAGCTCGACGGTGGGTGACCCTGAATAGTAGAACAGAAAAAAAGCATTAGTCATCCGTTAATTATTAAATCCATGGGAAAATCCTCACTGGTGAATCGGGATTTCAGATTGGCAGCCCACGCACACGGAGAGGAACCTCCTCAAGGTGGTGGGGCCGGTGGTACCGATGCCCAGAAATTATTCTCTACCCCCTGACATCGACCAGCACCAGTTCTCGAAGTTCACGAACATCTACTTCAAGAGCCACATATTCGGCATGAAGAGGGAGCCGATAAAGACGCCCTTCCTGGCCAAGGCCCGGGACCAGGACTACACGGACTCGCTGATGATCTTCAAGATGATCCTCAGGTTCATGAACGAGAACAACCTGAGCGGCAAGCGGGAGCAGGCCCTCGGGGATTACATCGTTAACAAGGGGATCGTCAATGAGAAACTCCGAGACGAGATTCTTTGTCAGCTGGCCAACCAGACCTGGAAGAACGAGAACGACGCCAACAAGGAGCGAGGCTGGCTCCTGCTCTCCAACTGTTTCTCCGCCTTCCAGCCGAGTCCTACGCTCTTCAAGTATCTCTTGAAGTACGACTCTACGCAAAGTTAAACCTAGGTTAGGAATTCCCATCGGGATGACTTTTTAATCCCTTCGCTCGCCCCCAGATACGTCTCCGACCACGCGTACGACGGCTACAAGGCCTTCTGCCAGAGGAAGTTGCTGCAGACCGAGAGGACCCTCTTCAAAGTGACCAGCAATGGTCAGCAAACCTCGTACCAAGTGCCTAGAAATTATCCTCCCTGCGTTCTGGAATGGCGAGCCAACAGGAACCGCGTAAACATGGCGCTGAGTGTCGGCTTCTACGACGGTGGGTCCCTTCTTCGACACCTTGCGAACGTTTCCTTCGGCTCCAGGACATTGATCATGCTTTTTTTTCAGGCGAGATCACGACCTGCGCAATAGACTCCTGGACCACCTGCGAGGAGCTGGCGAATCTAGCCGTGGAAAACCACGGAGTGGAGAATTCTGGATGGACCATCACCCTGTGGAACCAGCTCGATGGTCCCGACGCGATAGTCACGGAGACGAACGGATTCGATTACGTCCTGGACCTCATCTCGGAAATGGAACTGGCACCTGCGTTCCCGGCTGCCAAGCACATGTTCCTGGAGCAGCGGAAGAACAGCTTCCCGGTGGTAAAGAAGCGAGAGGTACGAATCCCGAATTTATACAAAGAGAAATTGAAAGACCCTTAAGTCACTACTTCAGGTCGAATCCCTGTCACCTTCTAATTTCCCCTGACTCCAGCACGCGCAGGTGGTCCGAGAATTGGAGCAGGAGATAGAGCCCCCGGTGCTGAAGACGTTCCAGCCTCTGGAGAGGAAACCAGCACCCAAGGTGGTGGACAAACCGGTGGAGGCGGAAATCCAGTCGCCCAGAAGACCGGCGGTGCCTCCACCTCAGCCACCGGTGTCCAAACTTCCGGTTGGTTCCAATTCCTCCACCGTAAAAAATGATTGCAAGAGTTTCTAATTTCTTTTAATCCCCCAAAGACGAGAAAGCAGTCTCACGAGGCGGTTCTAGAGACCTCGGAGACGGGTCTGTCCAGGAAGTCGGCCTTGAACGACCGTTACTTCGACAACGAGAAGCAGAGAAGTCGAAGTCTGGACAACCTCCTGCAGCCGGAAGTGGTCAGTTCGCCGAGCAAGCTGGCGACCCTGGGGCTCTCCTCCTCGAAGCTGAACGAGAGGTACCACAGCCTGGAGAGGATCGGCGAGACCTCTGCGGTCAGCAACGTGGAGTACATGACGAGGTCGGAGATCGCCCAGGAGAGGAAGTACAGCAGGATCAACAGGACCACCGAGCCCAACATCGTCGAGGAGGAGGACCTGACCATCGACTTCGAGTACCCCGACATCCAGTCCGTTAGCCAAACTGGGAGATCCGAGGACGACAAGAGCAGCTACATCATCAGGTCCCAAACCAGGTTCATCAAGTCCCAGTATCCAGGTAAAGTGGGATCCCTTTGTCCCGGATTAAGACCCGGTTTAAAAATTGACAAAGAACCGGGACTTTGGATGTTGGGTTCTTCAGGGAAGCGGGCACTCCCTGGGAGTCAGTCCAGTCGAGCCTACATCGAGAAGAGTGAGTACGGTGGAGTAAAGTCTTCGGCAATGTCGGACACCAGCGAGGCACCTTCCTTGGCGTCCCACGTGAGAAGGGTCAGGGTGCCGAGCCAGGCCAGCGACGTGGACCAGTTCCTGGACGAGCTCTTCATGCCAGTCCTGGATGGCAACCTGGACGAGCTCTCCGACGCGAGAAGTCTTGCGGCCAGCATCAAAGGACTGCGGATTTTGTCCTCGAAACTTGACCAAGATCAAGGTCCTCCAGGGCCAGGGACCATGGAGGATTTCCTGGACGCCACGATTAGGACTCCCTGGCTGGAGCACGTCCACCCTGAAGAGCTCAGCGCCAGGATCAAGGGTGGTGGGAACAAAACCGGGCCTCACAGGAATTTAAGGACCAATCCGGACCCGGTTCCCGAGCTGGACCCTGGGGTCGTCAAGTGCATGGAGGACTTCGTCAGCTCCGCGATTGGTGGGCCCAACCTATCATCCTTGAGTCCCACGGAGATCTCCAGCAGGATCAAGGGCGGCGGCAGCATGGACATCCCTAACCAAAACGCAGCCTTTGGCTTCAACCCTCTGGCTCCTGGGATGATCCCTCCTCAGCTGATGATGCCCATGTTCTCCCCTCAGTCGGTGCCACAGCAGGCGACCGCGAGTTTGGGCCTGAATCAGGGATTTGTTCCCATCCCAATCTATAACACCCAGGGGCCCAGTATTCCCCAGTACCCGAACTCACCTCCGGGGCCCAGCGACGAAATGCTGGCCTATCAGCAGAACCTGCAAAGGGCCTTCCTCCAGAGCGCCATGGCCCAGAACATCCAGATTCAGCAGAAGCTTCTGGCCCAAAATCAGGCCCTCCACCAACTGCTGGTCCAGAGTCCCCAGAATTCGGGCCAGCAGCAACAGCAGCAGCAACCGGTGGGTCCCGCGATGTTCGCTCTCATGCCGATTAAAGCCGCGACAGGGCAGGGCGAATCCAGGGGCCCGATTCTATTTTGGACATTCAGAAATGGGCCTTCATTTTGGGACCCTCTCGGGCCCCTTGCTTCGACGTGCCGTATCGAGCCACAATTGTCTTCTGTACAGTTCCTAATGTGTAAGCTCTTGGAAGCTACGGCCCTGGCGTCGATTTTGGGCCCTATGGACCCAAGTTAGAATCCAGACTGTATGAATGAGCAAGAAAGAACATCTTGGGAGACGCCAGGGTCGAAGTTTCGGCCTTTCGGTGGATTCTGGCCGGCCAGGTGGGCCTAACTAACGAAAGCATCGAGATATAACCCTTTAAGGCCCCGCAACTCGCGATAACTCTTGCCGAAGGGGTTGCGGTCCCCGCGAGGTGTGTTCCGGTCCCCAGGGTGTGTTTCGAGCCGCCTCGTGGCGCGGGTGTGTGTTTCCAGGGCATGGTGTACCCCGTGGAACCCTCCAGCATGAATATTCTCCCCCAAGCCCCCCAAAATGAGGCCCAGATCGGGCCCAATGACTCGATCGGACGCTCCTCGAAGGTATCTATTGACTTCACCTTAAAAAAAAAAAGAAAAGAAAAATGCAAACAGAGAAAAAAAATTCAATAATACCTAACGCACTTCGCAGCGAGCTTTTTCTTCTCTCCAATTGTACATACATACATATTCTCGGGATCTCGGTCGAGGAAGAGTCCCCTGGGTTCCCTTGAAGAGGCCAACCTCGGGTTTTAACTCCTTTCTTTCCAGCGAAAAAGAACGCAGAAAAAAATAAATAAATTGTTCCCCCTTCCTCGAAAGAAAGGGAGCCCCGGTCGATCCTCCTCCTGAGATCAGCGCAGGTGCACAGGTGCGCCTTGTCGACTAACCTAACCAAGAGCGCCTTCTTCGGCGACTTCGCCTCGCTCCCGAGGGAGAGAAATTAAGACACACTGCTGCTTTCTCGCAAATCCAGAGGGTTGAATCGGGGGAAGAATAAAATTGAGCGGATTCTTGAAAAAAATTCAGGTGTCCTTCCGCGAGCCCGAGGACGGGGAGCTGTGGTCCACGGAGAAGAGGTCCATGCCGGCGACGTCGACGCCGACTGTACAGAGACAGGAGACAGTGACGATCAAGGCCCAGGTCCACAGGTCCCAAAGTCCCCCCAAAGCCGGGGACCCCTCCAGGAAACCCACGGGAGAGTTCACCAGGAGGCTCAGCACCGAGAGGAGGCCCGGGGAGAGGAAGTCCCCCCAGGACGCGAAGGGCAGAGCCAACGGGAGCAAAGGTTCCGCCCAGACAAACTTCACGAACGTCCTCAGCGAGCTGAAGAACAGGAAGAGCAGCGTCGAGAGCAACCCCCCGCTGTGTGTTAACAAGGGGGTGCCACCCCCGCCGCCGATGCCTCCACCCCTGGAGTCGCACGACCCTTCGGAGTCGAGGCCCTTCCTCGACCCGTACGGCAGGGCGAAGACCGTCAGGATCGGCAAGTGGAGGTGAAGGAGACGTTCCTGGTTTTCCTCCTCCTTGGTCCTTCCGAAATGTCCTTCTGATTTTTCATTTTCGGGTTTCAAAGGTGGCCGCCACCCTCGGACTCCGCCGAGGGCCAGGGCCTGGACAGCTTCATCGAGTTCAAGTTGCGCCAGCAGCATCACCTGAGGAAGATCACCCCTCACTACCAGGAGTACCAGGAAGGGGACCAGGAAGGGGGGGTCGAGTGGGAGGAATTCGAGATCGAGAACATCGTCGAGGAGAGGACCGTCGCCGGGGTCCGGCACGAGAACGGGTACAAGGAGGAGGGCGAGAAGAAGAAGAAGAAGTCCAAGTAAGGGATGTTTAAAGAGGGACTTTTCGAAGGGGGAGGAAAAGGAATTCATGGGATTGCTTTTCTCCAGGTCGGGACTCGAGATCGGGGCCCAGAGACCATCGCCCGGGAGCATCGGGAAGCTGAAGCTCAGCTCGGAGATGAGGCAGAGGCTGGAGAAGGTGACGGCCAACCACAGCGTGAGGTCGACCAAGACCTCGGAGAAGCCGGCCCTCCCTCGGGAGGATGGCAAGGTGAAGAGGCTCGAGGACAACCGGAAACTCCTCCTGGAGCAGCAATTGGGTGAGTCCCGGTCCCCGATTTCTCTCGATTGGGATTATCGATCTCGACTCCTCGTCTTCCTGGTCCAGGTGGACGGTGGGACGACTACGCGTCGACGGCCGACGACACGCAGAGCGTCACCTCGAAGGGCACGACGGACATGATGACCCAGGCCCAAGTGGTCAGGACGCAGATCGAGAGGATGGAGCGACCGGTCCCACCTCCACCTCCCATCAGCCCCCCGCAGCCCCCCAGTCCCCGGGGGGGTAGCACCTACAGCCAAAGGTGAGACTCCTCGTGACTGTTCTTTCATATTGATAAAAAAAGAAATACGTAGAGTCGTTGCAAATGAAGAAAACAAATTCCAGCCAATCCGGGGTGGCTCCTCCGACCCCCGTGGAGCCGAAGACGAGAGAGGCCTTCCACGCGTCGCCGACCTCCGACCTCTACGAGCACTACCCGAAGAGCCACTACCAGCGCGACGTCTACCCTGGCCAGGAGACGGACAAACCCCGCAGGACTGCCGATAAGGCGAAGGACTTCTACGGGAAGGACAGCACGGACCTGGGGAGCTCGATGCGCGACAGGAGCTCGGACTTCGACTCCAGGAGGGACACCTCCTCGGAGATCTTCGAGCAGAAGTACGCCCGCGACCTGGGCTTCGAGCAGTCCAACGGCCGGGTGACCCCGAAGAGGGACGCCTTCGGCATGGCCAGGGACGTTTCCCCCAGGTCCAGGGACAGCTTCGGGATGCCCTCCACTCGAGAGTTCGGGGTGGTCCCGGACACGAGGGACTCCTTCGCCGCCACCAGGCAGACCTACAAGAAGATCGACCCTGCGGACACCGATCGACGATCCAGCGTCGCCTCGACCCACAGGACCGACAAGCTGGAGAGGATCGAGATCGAGGAGTGGCCGGAGTTCCTCAGGCCCGTTTTACCCCCCGCCGAGAAGCCGGAGATCGAGAAGGCCCAGGAGATCGTGGACACCAAGCTGCACCTACCCACCTCTGGGGCCCACTTCGCGTACAATCGGATCAGCTGGAGCCTCAGGGTGAAGAAGGAGGTCTTCGCCCCCAACGAGACCCTGACCAGCCCTCTGGCTCTTCACCTCGTCTTCTGCCAGGTCGCCTACGACGTCCTCGCCACCTCCAGCATCCGCATCAGTAAGGAGGACCGCCAGAGCATGCTCAAGATGCTCGATGGCTACGGGATCACTCTGGAAAATCTTCAAAGCACCCAACATAAGATCACCATCAAGAAGAACATCGTCGACATGGCCAAACAGTGGCCCCTGTACTTCGCCAGGATCTTCCCGGTCTCGGTGAGGACAATTTCCGAGACGCTTTTAGTAGGTTCACAGGAAATTATTTTTCATTTCCTTTTTTTTCTCTGGGCTCTTCAGATCGGTCCTCAGCATCCCGAGGCCCAGCACGTGGCGGTGTCACACCATGGACTGCGACTTATTAAAAGAACGTCCACCGGGGACCTCACCATCCTGGAGACTCTCCCTCTCGAGGACATCGTCTCCGTGGGGGCGGTCAGGGCCGGGGTGTGCACCTTGCAGATCTCTTCGGGGGTTCGCCTCCCTCTACACACCCACAGGGCCCCCCAGCTCGCCGAGATGATCGGCAAGTACATCCAACTGGTGAGTCAATTTCTCCGGAAGCCTGCGAAAATCCTCAATTCCCGGATTAAACATTTTAGTGCTACTCAAAGTCGTTAGCACTTGTAAAACAACGATATTTCGTTATCCGGCACTAGAAGGGTTAAGGTGAACTGAAACACGTCGAGGAACTTCATCGACGTTGGTAAAGAAGATCTATCTATATACCTACGCTGCCGACGTTGGTTTTTATATTGATAGCTGTGTCGAATTATATTCGGTATTGTACTGAATAGCATACTCCACCTGTCGTTTTCGTACAATAATTATAAAAAATCGATGTAGAACCCCAGAAATCCTCCGGATTCATGCTTTCCGAGGCCCTAATTGACTGCAGAGGGACCCCCTGCACCATCTGTGGTTTTCCGTGTCAACTAAATTTTAAAGTGCCAACTAAATTTTAAATTTTAATAAAAAGGGGGGTTTCACTTAACCTTAAAGATTCTCTCTAAATCTTTTCTCTAAATCATTTAAAATCTAAATTTTGAATATGTGAGGACAATTCTTAGATGATCAGGAGTGATGTGTCAAAGTTTCGGACAGTTTGGTCCAATACCCTTAAAAAAAAAAGTGTTTTAATCAAATCGACTGATTTAAGGGGGGTTTCACTTAACCTTAACCTGTCCTTGACACTCTCGATTTCATCTCCTACATCGAGGTCGACGACCACGCGAGATAGAGATCGTAAATGCGAGGTGTTACGTATTTCACGCATTCGCTTACTCGTCCTACATCCTCGGACTTGTCTCTTAATCGTCCCCTCCGAAAAAATCCTCCAAAAGTGCCTCAAGAAAAAATAAAAGAACATGCGTGACAAAAATTGGTAGGAAATTTATCTTAATAAATATTTTACTTTTTAACTAATGTTTAATGTAATTATTTCAGTTCTTACAGTGATTTAAAACAGGCGTTGCGCTATTGACACATTTGTTACTTGTTTTATGTTTAATATACTGTTTTCTTACATTTGTGTGTGTCAATTTAAGCAACGTCTATTTTAATCATTGCAAGTACTTTTTAAATCCTGAAAATATCCCTTCGTTTAATAAATGAATTTGAATAGCCCGCCAAATAATTTAGTTCGCGTTAATGGTTTACTCCAACCGAAGATGGCGGTAGAGCATAAGCGATACACCCCAATACATGGCAGTGTCACCCCCCTGTGAGTAACTAAGTAACAGTAAATGTGGATCGAATTTTGGTGTAAGAATGTTGGTTATGATTGATGTTTTGCGTAAGTTTACGAATTAATAATTTCATTCATGTTTTTACGAAAAGTACTTTGTATTTTCACCTGTTAATACGACTAAACAGACAGTATTGTACATTACAAAAAAAGTTTAATACATTTAAAATGTAATAATTTTCTTCATTTTACACTTACTTTTAATGAATGGTTATACCTCTTTCATTGGTGTCTAAAGTCTTGGAGGTTCTCTGTTTCTAAGATCATTTCTTGTCTGGTTCTGAACATTTTGTCGTAACCAATATACATGAAATCCATGTAACTTGTAGTTTGCAACTCACTTGTATTTGGATTATTTGTAAGTAATTAAAATTTATTAGTGGGAGTCGATTGAATTTAGAGAGAAACTTAATGTTTATTTTCTATTAGAGGGTTTCGGATGTTTTTGCCTTAACCTAAAATCTTTTGGCCTATCGGAGGGCATCCTGTCTTTAACATCAGGACTATCAAGACCAGTCAAAATGACTGGTTTCAAATAACTCATCCTATACAAAAAAAAAGCCGTCAGTAGTTCTAGTGTTAATAGATATGCTTTAATCAAACATGATATGATAATACCTTAACATCGGGCAATTATAATAAACATACGTTCCCGGAAGTTAATACAAATATAGGTTTTCTGTGATCGTCATATTTTCCTTCAATTTTACGTGAGCTTGGTAAAAGTTTATGATCAATTCTATAATAAAATGATTGGTTTTCAATTACATTTATTTCTTATAGCTTTCTGTAAATATTTTCTTGAATGTTTGTAAAANAGGATTTTTGTAAATATTCAAAATAGTGTTTTACAAAAACATTTCAGACGCGTTCTTCAAGTAGTTGGGTCTTTTGTGTCCGACAACGATTTTGATTGCCTAGTGTTATATCAATTGATTGAATGTGAAGACCTATTTACTTAAGTCTAGTCCTTTATATAAAATATTTTTACAGTCACAATTGGTGACGCTATCTGTACTGTTTTTGGAGATATTGCAGGTAACAGTTTTTGACTGGAGAGGAAAAATCCACCGATATGAGCTGAGGGTTAATATAGTATTGTTCATCATTATTATATTTGTATATTGTATGGAATGAGTTTTGCAAAAGGTTCAAAATCAATGGGATGGGAACCATTTAGTTCTGGCAAAGGAATACTCATTCTTTGATGAACTATAAATCATGAACAATAGTACTATCTGTGTGATTGCTACTTGAATTAGTCGAATGAGAGGCCTTTGCACTGACTAGCTCCCATCGATTTAGCTCCATTTAATAAATTCTCCATGTATATGTTTGCAATTGGGAATTTTTATCATTTATGACGTTTTACAATTATCACTTAGCCAGTTCTTTTTTCATATCAAATCCATAATCTTTATGAAAATACTACATTGTAGTTTCATTCAACCAATGCTGTATTCGAAGCTGATATAGGTCAGCAGTTTTTCCCGGCTAGTAACAGGAATGGTTTTTTAATGTCATCTCTGTCTAGCATTGGGGCTAACCAGCTGAAGTTACTTCGTAATCATCAGCCAACATCTAGGATCCCTTTAAATTTAAACCATTCATATTTTGGTATGGACGTGTAAAAAGGCCAGTAACTGCTAACATTAATGCAAATGTCCAATTTTCGTTGCCATTGCTCAAATGGTTTCAAATCGATTGGACTTTGGCCTCATTGGTGAAAGCGGTACGGCCAAACAACATACATGGTGTAGCTAATCTACATGTCTGCACAAGATATCTTAAATAGCACCAATATGTATATCAATTTAATGCTGAACGTAACATGTACAAATCAGGTTGTTCTTAAAAGTATCTTGAAATGGATACAGTGTCTTTATTATGACAGTTTATACTTATGTACTTTATAACTTCAGCTTTTATCAGGAATAATGGTTCTCCAATGGTGGTAATTGCCTTTATGACTTATTTAGATACGACCTTTACTATCTAAATTCATAATATTTTGGTGGACCTTCTGAATATACTATGGATGAAGGAAAGGAGGATGCTTTTTGCAACAATACGAAACTTGACTCAGACATGGAAAGTCAAGAAAATTCTTATAAAGAGAATTTATCAAATTTATCAATAGAGACTCAATGTTCGTTCCAAGAAGAGAATGAATCTCAAGTTGTTGAAGATCAAGAATTGTTGTGCTGGACGGTTTCACAAAGTAATACTTGTAAAAGAAATCACCTTGATTATGGTGAGATTTCTGATAAAAGTCACTGCAGCGATGCAATGGAGGAGGATTATAATGAACTTGAGAACATTACAGAAACTGTTCCTAATGGTTCTTGCAATCAGAAAACTGCAATGTGCAGTATAAATAGTGTGATAGCTAGTGATGAATTGAGACAGTTTGATATTTTGGATGATTTAGAAAGACATCCTAATCAAAATTGTTCTGACTCAGAGTATGGCTCAAACGAATCTATTGATTCTGATGTACCTGATGAGGAGATTGAAGCTATGCTTGAAGAAGGTAAATTCATAATTTTTATTAAAATAGGGATACAGTTGTAGCATGTTATCAAATGTTATTATCGTTCCCATCTTGAACTTAATTAATCTAATTGAAGTGAGTAACGCACCATGCCATTGACATCATAAGTAGGACTTCACATTTACAGAAAAAGAGTGAAGTTCTGAAAAGCGCATATCTATGATTCATTTGAAACTTTATGTAACTACGTATTTTGACCCGTTGATTACAAATATCACAGTGAAAATGGATGCAAATGTTATCTTCAAGGTGAAATCGATAGAAAATCATTTTTGCACATTTTTACATTATTTTAACCAATATAGGTTTAGACGAAAAAGCTTCAAATAAAAGTTGCGGCCCTTGAAAGAATACATTTTTTTGTTGTATACATTTTTCTCCGAAATCGTTATTTTTTGAGATAAATTGGATATGTTCTTGAACTACAAAAGCAGAATTAAAGCTCGGTTTTACAACTCGAGTTAATTGGAGTTTACAGTATGTTTAAATCGGGTGTAAATCAGTTACACTCCGTTTAATTTGGGTTGCGGAACCGGGGCGTTTATTACGTATTCTTGACGACAGCGTTCACTTCTCGCACTCTTATCTCACGTGGGTTTATTTGCTGAATTACGTATTCACTATATGTAAGAACGAGATCACTAACACTTTCGGTTTAGTAATATTGCAAATAAAGGTATATACCTTGTAAATCGAAAAGTGATGAGAGGTAGTGGGTTATAGGCAGGAAAGTCGGGAAGATGGAAAGTTGTTAAAAGTAAAGAAGAGGACTCGAGTCTATCTATATTTTTTAAATATGTATTGCATTCATATTTACATGTACTATAATTAGAAGTTCAACGATATAATTTTCTTATCGTGTCATATAAGCATGAATTATTTAACACTTTTCAATGTTTAATAATGTAATATAATCTTACTATAACAAAAACTAACCTGTACATCCTAATAAATTCTCATTCTTTTCACGAAAATGGGTCTGAGGCATCACGTAATTAGCTTCTTCTTCTAATAAGGTTATTATTACATCCCCGAATACGATTGTTGCCAAAAAATCAAAACACCCAGCAGGTTTTCCATTTTGAATTTTGGTGTCACAATCCGTGGAAGATGGCGTTCAGGGCGATTATTTTTCTATCTTTTCTTGTATGCTTCACCATTTCGCTTAAAAATTTGTGCCGAGCCAGTTCATATGGATGGTCTCGCATTTTCACCACCAAAAATGTTCCTTAATGCCGTGAACTACTCATTTTTCACATTTTTGCTCAATTTGTTTTACGTAATAGACCTCCAGGCCTAAAGGCGTGAGATCTTTGTGCAGTAAATATGGGGGGGGGGGGCATGCATAAGATTGCCAGGTTGTTCAGGCTACTTGTATTATCTAGTTTTGTATTTCAGGAATGTATCTGATTTTTTTCGAAAAGTAACGGTTTAAAATAATGCATAGAACATAAAGAATGTATTTTTGTAAAAACTACAAGTTTCATATGAAACCTTTTTTACTTAAACCTACACTAGTTAAAGTAATGTAAAAATTACCAAAAATTATTAACAATTATTTTGACCATGAAGATAACATGCTTTCTAATTTTCACTACCATATTCCTAATCAGTGGGTCAAAATATCTAGGTATACGAAGTTTCAAATTAATCAGAAGTATGCGCTTTCTGGAACTATATCCCTGAAAAAGATCTAACTTGAAATATAATATGTTGATTGTTAATTGTAGTATTATTAAATGAATAATATTTTACATTATACAATGATTCAGGTTTACCAGAGGAATTCAGAGGAAAAAGAAAAGAAAAAAGAGATGGAATGCCCTACGAAGAAAAAGAGAAACTTGTTCTTGATGGTATGTCGTTTGTTTGAACAGAGCGATGATGGACATACCTATGTTCTTATAGCTACAATATTTTCCTAATTTCAGAAATTGGTCACAATCACTTTGATATACTACCAGAAGGATGGGTTCAAGTAACTCACAATAGTGGAATGCCATTATATTTGCACAAGCAGAGTAGAGTTTGCACTTTGGCGAAACCTTATTTTCTTGGCCCAGGTAGTGTACGGAAGCACGAAGTGCCTGTTAGTGCTGTTCCTTGTTTGCAATACAAAAGAGCCTTGCTTGAAGAAGAGGAAGAACGAATAAAAGAAAAGGAAAGAGAGCCTGTCAATGAAGCATGCAGTCTACCCAGTGCAAAGATTGAAACAATTCAAGAAAATCGAGCAGCTCATTCATTAGACAGTGAACAGCTGCGAAACTACTGCCAATCGTTATTTCGTTTTAAGGCCATTAAAGTTATGAGATTCCAGTGAGTTGCAGAAAGTTAATAATTAACTTTAAAAAATACAATTTTTTAAAACCAAATACTAATTGGGGATTGTTTTCAAAGGGCTTTTAATCATAATATGTATTTTAGGTCATGGTCAGCACGAAGAAAATTTACTAAAAATAAGAAACATCGTAAACAACTTGAACGTCCAACTTTACCTGATGGTACAAAGCTTATAACTTTTCCAATGAGTAGTTCAACATCAGGATGTACTGGTAGTGGCACAGGGGAAGATAATGGTCAGAGACCTCCCAAACATTGGATCATGAATCCTTCAGGCAAAAGTTATGTATGCATTTTACATGAATATGTGCAGCATGCCTTGAAGAAACAGCCAACATATAAATTTAAAGAATTAGGTAAGTTTTTAGTTTGTTGATCATTAGATTAGTTATTATTAGAATTAACCCTTTGCACTCCGTTGTCCCCTCTCAGGGGACATTTTAAGTCTAAATGGGATGGCGCGGAGTGCAAAGGGTTAAAAACCTACGTATTAGGTTTTATCAAAACAATTTATAGTTAAGGTAAAATGAAATATGTTGAGAAATTCCATCGATGTCGGTAAAAAAGAATCTTCTAAATACCTACGTTGCCAACGTTCGTATTTATGTTGCCGAATTAAATTGGGTATCGTACTAAATGGCATACTTCATATGTCGTTTCCATACAATAATTATGAAGAAATCAAAGTAAAACTCCAGAAATACCCTGGATTCATGGTTTTCGATGCCCTAATTGACTGCAGACGTAGCAAACGACCGTTTCGGTGGCAGTAGCCAAAGAATTCAGAAGTCTCCATAGAAGCCCAGAAGTATACGGCCGTTCGATGCTCGATAAATAGTATGTTAGCCAACGGATGGCGGCGCTGTAATCATCTCTCCATCTCTCATAATCTTATGGCGATATATAGCGATTGCATTCTTTCTTTATCTTACACGCAATACTCGCCTTTCTATATGCGTCTCTCTTCCTCCCGTACGTGAGATATCGTTGGCTAACACGTGTGATCTCTTTTTACCCCCACTTCTGGTTTGTTAGCCAACTTTTAGAGCATCAAGCGCTAACATAGGATCTGGGCTTCTATGGGATTCTGAATTCTTTGCAGTAGCCTTGTGGTCTCGGTGAGAGCGAAGAAATAATGGCGGTTCAGCGCGGGTCGTTTGAACCACGTTAAGGAAAGTGTATGTACTAGCTACGGACCGAAGGGGATTTTTCCTACAGTTTTGTGCTTCGTCCCAGGTCTGAATGTGGGCTCTTCAGTAAGGCTAACTAGGCAGACCCTGCCTTAGCACAGAAAATTCTCTCTCATGTGTTAGCGGGATTCGAACCCGAGAGACTCGCGGTACAGGCGGTGCGTGTAACCGCTGGGCTATCGGAGCCCGTGAAGAAGTGCGGCCTTCGGATATATATGAGTTATAGAAGGACCGTGTAGGCAGTCACAGTTGCAATGAGCCATTCGTCACAATTTTGACTTCTTTTGTTTATCCCAATGGATTGAGCGCCAGCCGCTATCGGGCGGTACTGAATTATCGAAATCTACTCGGGATCGCGAATTCCCGGCCTCAACAGCGCTACTTACGATACAACATGTGATCGCGTACTCGTGGCTACCGGTCTTCGAAGAAGTCTTTAACCCCTCAAAACACCTTCGGTTGTACAAAAATTTAGCCGATACATTTATATTTATTCAAATAATTGCAAAAATAGCACAAATTGCCCCCTTCCCACGAAAAGCTCAAATCAACTATTTATGCCAAATATAGTAGAACATTCATTCCATTAAAATCTCAGCTAAAATCTTTTTGCCAAATGTCACAGTATATTTGGTTTCACATATGTTGTATGTACAAGATTTTCTGCTTCCTCAAACCGAAGACAAATATTAAAAACTACGAAATAAATAAAAAAATTAGAAACTAAATTTGAAAACAATATTTTATTTGGCGAGCACCCGAGGTATACTCCTAGCATATGATCAATTTGGTGCTCGCCAAATAATATACTGTTTTCAAATTTAGTTTATAATTTTTTTAATTTATTTCGTAGTTTTTAATATTTGTCTTCGGTTTGAGGAAGCAGAAATTCTTGTACTTGCAACATACGTGAAACCAAATGTACTGTGACATTTGGCAAAAAGATTTTAGCTGAGACTTTCATGGAATGAATGTTATACTATATTTGGCAAAAATAATTGATTTCAGCTTTTTATGGGAAGGAAGCAACTTGAGCTATTTTTGTATTTAATTGAATCAAGATAAATGTATTTGGCTAAATTTTTGTACACCGAAGGTGTGTTTGTGGGGATTTCACTCCTTTTTGTGAAAGATTCTCCAACCTGAACATTAGGACTTTCCATTTCCTACGGCGATCCAAAGTATCTGCGGTGTATCCACGGAGCATCTATGGAGCTCCAAAATTAATGTCGAACAACTGCTGATTGCAGTCATTTGACATTTTGAGGTTATTTGTATGTGTCCATCGTCTGTAAATGTATTTTTATTCTCTTACCTGAATATTAGGTGTTTCTATTTCAGTAACTACGGAGTTCCAAAATTAATGTCAAACAACTGCTGATTGCCATCGTTTGGCATTCATTCGAAATATGTATCTAAAGCATAAAGTACCATTTTCTATTTCGTATTTGATATAAGAATAATAATCTGTTTTGGATATCCTATTTACATAGATTTTGAATCTATTTCCATTTGAAATTAAATACTTCCAGAGAAATGAGAATATTAGAAAAGAATCGACCCAAATGATACTTGTTCTATCAACAGAATCAACTCTCGAAAAAGTTAAACAACACGCGTAACTCGAAATAGCCACATTGGCAAAAACAGATGAAATTAAATTGTTTACTTTCATTTTAAATACAAATACAAGTCATCAAATTACGTGTCCGAATGAAGCATGAACAACGAAAGGTTAACGTTACGAGTAGATGGCACAGCTTATTCGAGACGATAGTTCGCGTAGAGGAATCGATCCTCCTTTCCCTCTGTTAATTACTTGATTGCGGTTGTGGCAAAATGACAATCCACCTTGCCAGCTGCGGAAGGAAGGGGATAAGGCCCGTGGGTGAACGACTGCAAGCGTGAACGCCGTCGGAAGGCATAAGATCCGCGAGAGAGCAAGGGAGAACACCGCTCCGAAATGGACGAGACCGTACTCCGGGGTAAAGAGACAGTCTTCCTCGCCGGCGTTAAAACATTGATGCTAATCCAATTATCTGGAGCTCGATATCATGACTCTCACAACGGGGAATGGAAGGCCCGAGACCGGAGTTTTAAGAGTGGTAGTGGAAGCCTGGGCCTTTTGCGACCAGGAGGAGCAGATTGCAGTATATTTCGTAGCATGAATTTTCTGCCAAACATGACAAGCGTAGCGAAAGGGAAGAAGAACGGAAATGTTCCAATAAGCGCATAACTTTCGAATCATTTGAATCTTCGTATACCTACGTATTTTGACGCGCTGATTACGAATATGATGGTTAAAATTGACGAAAATGTTGTCTTTAAAGTAAAATCAGTTTTTAATCATTTTTCGCGTTTCTTACATTATTCGGAATAATATTGTTTAATGAGACAACCGATAAAAGTAATAAGTGTAGCGGTGGAAAAAAAAAATCGCTCTTTTATGTTCTGTACATTTTTGTTCTAAAACCGTTATTTATCGCGAAAATTGGGATACATTCCTAAATCAGGCAATTATTTCATACAACTAATCTTAACTTTTAATAAAACATGCTTTATTACTTTCTTTAAAAAATTCTGTAAATTATCATTTAACAAAAACTACGTTAGGTGGGTCAGGGACACTCCACAATAATACTTCATTTTCATTCATTGTTTTTGTTTATAAATATTCATTTTCTTTAGGAAATCCATTCTGCCCCTCAGGCGNTTCATTAATTTTTTTTTGTTTATAAATATTGATTTTCTTTAGGAAATCCATTCTGCCTCTTGTGCGAATTAAATTCCGCGCTGCACCCGCTGTGAGTACGCCGCGCGGCCGGAGAGGGCAGTAGGTCCAGCGAGGTGTAACCATCGATGAATGCCAGTGTACCCTTGCCAACTTCGCCGCTACAAGCGTGCAATGGGCGGCCGAATACGGCGGCATAGCGACCGCGACTATTGTACTAGCAATATCTTTTCATATTTTCTTTAATTGAAACATTCAACGGAAGTTTTTGAATAAAAAAATATGATAACGATTACATTCAAATCATTAATAAGCATATTAAGTCAGTTGCCGCAAGGATATTAGCAAATATGAACAAGGACTCGACATACGACGAAAAGACTCAGTTTTGTCGTTATCTTCGCACCTCCATCGTAAATATCTTCTCAGATGGCGCCAGTAACGGCGCCGTTAGAGGGATTTATGTATCGCGGTTGCGGGAGGAGAATGCCGGCATGGTAGATCTCCGTTTAGACCGCCCTACTCTATCGTGTGCGTGTAATAGACGCGAAGATCTCGAGGCGACCAGTGCATGCAATTTTTCTGGAGGAACGTAAGGCACGAGCAAGGAGCCCTTCGGCGTGCTGCGCCCCGCGGAATTCGGCCGCGCGCCGTCTCGCTGGTCAACTTTAACTGCTAATAACTCGATGAAAAATGTTCTGTGCTGTTACGTAGACACCGTCTCGAAAAGGCACGACGTGGGGTGGGATCCCACGCGACCAAGGGCCATCCGTAAACCTCCTCGTGGTGGAGGTAGATGCGGACAGGTTGCCCTCGTCATGGGAATACTGCTCGACCGGTCGGCCGGGGTGCGTCAGGTAACCCGTCCCGTGTCCCGAGTTTCCGGGTGCGGGTTGGGGGCCGACACCATCGGCCGTAATAAGAAGGCCGGCGAGCTAGTACGAGTCGATAGATGGGATAACCGATCCGACTTTGCTGGGTTACCCTGGCCGGTGCATCGGGTTCCCATTCTGCCTAGCCTGGAAAAGTTGCCAAACCCCGCTGGAGCATTACGTCTCAGCTGGCACCTTGCACGAATGTTCGCACCACGCGGGTGCAGGGGAGGGACCTCCACGGGGTTCCCCGCGTGCAACGGGCGGGGTCAAGCGGCCTCCCTTCGGGGAGAGCGTCGCGGAGGCCCCGTCCCGGCCAGCGCCACCCCGGGGTTTGAACCAACGGTCCGGAACATTCGGGTCTTTCCAGCCCGTCTTGGGCCTTCGGGCCCCCTGTGGTGGTGGGGTCGCCGGATGTAGAGAGGAGTATAACTCCCCAGAAATGGGGGGGGGGGGGGCGCTAAGGAAACATACGTTTCTAGGCGCGGTCGGCCCCGGCCGATACGAAGCAATGTTATGTAGACACCCTAACGTAGGGAAAAACCCATTTTCCCGTCACCGAA